TCCCCAATAGGAATAAATGCAAGACTGCCCATACTCACTGCCTTCCGGCTCGAAGCATCGGCCACTTTATTGGCCTTCCCCGGATGGTACAAAATAGTAATATCATAGTCCTTTAGCAGCTCCAATCATCTCCGCTGCCTCAAATTGAGATCCTTCTATTTGAACAAGTGCTGGAGGCTACGATGATCAGTAAACACCTCACAAGACACACCATACAAGTAATGCCTCCAAATTTTTAACGCGTGAACAATGGCATCCAACTCCAAATCATGAACAGGGTAGTTCTTCTCATGGGGCTTCAACTGACAAGAAGCATAAGCAATAACCCTACCCTCCTGCATCAACATACATCCAGTACCCACTCTCGAAGCATCACAATACACTGTATATGAACCTGAAGCTGATGGCAAAACTAACACTGGAGTCGTGGTCAAGGCAGTCTTGAGCTTCTGAAAGCTCGCCTCACACTCATCCGACCACTGGAATGGAGCACCCTTCTGAGTCAACTTGGTCAAGGGTGATGCAATGGATGAAAATCCCTGAACGAACCAACGGTAATAACCCGCCAATCCAAGAAAACTGCGAATCTCTATGGCTGAGGACGGTCTGGGCTAACTCTGAACCGCCTCTATCTTCTTCGGATCAACCTGAATACCCTCACTGGACACCACATGCCCCAAGAAAGCCACTGAACTGAGCCAGAACTCACACTTAGAGAACTTTGCATAAAGTTTCTCCTCCCTTAACCGCGGCAATACTATTCTCAAATGCTCCGCGTGCACCTCCTGACTATGCTAATATACCAGAATATCATCAATGAAAACTATGACAAACGAGTCGAGATACGACCGGAACACGTTGTTTATCAAATGCAAGAACGCTGCTGGGGCATTGGTCAAGCCAAAAGACATCACAAGGAACTCATAGTGACCATATCGGGTCCTAAAAGCTGTCTTAAGAATATCTGAGTCCCTGATCTTCAGCTGGTGATACCCTGAACGGAGATCAATCTTAGAGAAAACCCTCGCTCCCTGAAGCTGGTCGAACAAATCATCAATGCGAGGCAGGGTATACTTGTTCTTAATTGTAAACTTGTTCAAATGCCTGTAATCATGGGTGAAACCTTCAGTAGAACCTTCTCCCCAACCATATAGGACACATCACGAACCTTCCTGTCATCATAACTCTTTTGCCTCGACTGCACTGTACGAAGCCTCTCCTGAATCACATTTACCTTGTCCAAAGCATCTTGCACTAACTCCGTACCCAAAAGCCTGGCCTCACCCAGCTCGAACCAACCAACTGGAGATCTACACCGCCTCCATATAGAGCCTCATATGGAGCCATCTGAATACTCGACTTGTAGCTGTTGTTATAAGCAAACTCTGCGAGCGGTAGAAACTGATCCCATGAACCACCAAAGTCAATCACATAAGAGTGCAACATGTCCTCTAATATCTGAATAGTGCGCTCGGACTGCCCGTCCGTCTGAGGGTGAAAAGCTATGCTCAACTCGACCTATGTGCCCAACTCTCTCTGCACGGCCCTCCAAAACTGCGAATTAAACTGAGTGCCTCTATCTGAAATGATAGAAATTGGGACACCATGCAAGCAAATAATCTCTCGGATATAGATCTCTGCCAGCCGCTCCGAAGAATAGGTAGTACAAATAGGAATGAAGTGCGCAGACTTGGTCAGCCGATACACAATCACCCAAATAGCATCGAACTTCTTCAAAGTCCGTGGGAGCCATACTACAAAGTCCATGGTGATTCACTCCAACTTCCACTCTGGAATATCCATCTGCTGAAGCAAGCCACCCAGTCTCTGATGCTTATATTTCACCTGCTGACAATTGAGACACCAAGCTACAAATCCCATAATATTTTTCTTCATCCTCCTCCACTAATAATGCTGTCTTAGATCCTGATACATCTTCGCTGCACCCGGATGAATGGAATATCGCGAGCTATGGGCCTCCTTCAGAATCAACTCCCAAAGCCCATCCATATTGGGCACACAAATCCGACCCTGCATCCTCAACACCCCATCATCACCAATGGTCACATCTCTGGCATCGTCGTGCTGAACTCTGTCCTTAAGGACAAGCAAGTGAGGATCATCATATTAGCGTTCTTTGATGCGATCGAACAAGGAAGACCGAGAAATCACACTAGATAAGACCCGACTGGGCTCCAAAATATCCAACCTCACTAACCGGTTGGCCAAGGCCTGAACATCAATTGCGAGCGGTCTCTCCCCAACAGGAATAAATGCAAGACTGCCCATACTCACCGCCTTCCGGATTAAAGCATCGGCCACTATATTGGCCTTCCCCGGATGGTACAAAATAGTAATATCATAGTCCTTTAGCAGCTCCAACTATCTCCGCTGCCTCAAATTGAGAATTCAACAAGTGTTGGAGGCTACGATGATTAGTAAACACCTTACAAGATACACCATACAAGTAATGCCTCCAAATCTTTAACGCGTGAACAATGGCAGCCAACTCCAAATCATGAACAGGGTAGTTCTTCTCATGGGGCTTCAACTGACGAGAAGCATAAGAAATATTCCTACCCTCCTACATCAACACACATCCAATACCCACTCTCGAAGCATTACAATACACTGTATATGAACCTGAAGCTGATGGCAAAACTAACACTGGAGCCGTGGTCAAGGCAATCTTGAGCTTCTGAAAGCTCGCCTCACAGTCATCCGGCCACTGGAATGGAGCACCCTTCTGAGTCAACTTGGTCAAGGGTGATGCAATGGATGAAAATCCCTGAATAAACCGACGGTAATAACCCGCCAATCCAAGAAACTGCGAATCTCTATGGCAGGACGGTCTGGGCCAACTCTAAACCGCCTCTATCTTCTTCGGATCAACCTGAATACCCTCATTGGACACCACGTGCCCCAAGAAAGCCACTGAACTGAGCCAGAACTCACACTTGGAGAACCTTGCATAAATCTTCTCCTACCTCAACCGCTGCAATACTACTCTCAAATGCTCTGCGTGCTCCTCCTGACTATGTGAATACACTAGAATATCATCAATGAAAACTTTGACAAACGAGTCGAGATACGGCCGGAAAACGTTGTTCATCAAATGCATGAACGCTGCTGGGGCATTGGTCAACCCAAAAGACATCACAAGGAACTCATAGTGACCATATCGGATCCTGAAAGCTGTCTTAAGAATATTCGAGTCCCTGATCTTCAGCTGGTGATACCCTGAACGGAGATCAATCTTGGAGAATACCCTCGCTCCCTGAAGCTGGTCGAACAAATCATCAATGCGAGGTAGGGGATACTTGTTCTTAATTGTAACCTTGTTCAACTGCCTGTAATCAATGCACATCCTCATAGTGCCATCCTTCTTTTTCACGAATAGAACAGGCGCACCCCACGGCAAAACACTAGGCCGAATGAACCCCTTATCGAGGAGTTGGGGGTGAATGGGTAATGGGGTTTTGGTCCGAAATTCGGACCAAAATCCTATTACACATTCACCCCTACGGCGGAATCATTCTTTGTAGGTGTCTCTGGCTGAATCAAAATAATATTTTTACATCATGCATTACTTGCAAATGTCAAATCAAGAGGCATAAAACTATTAGCAATAATAACAAATGGTGTACCCGCAACGATTTTATTATGAGGCCACTCACTTTAGATTTGATATACATCTTCAAACAACTAAAATAACCATCACAAATATATCAAAGCAGAGCAATATTGCTACATTTATAAGGAAAGCAAAATTGATAATATGGGACGAAGCGCTTATAGCTAGTGTCAAATGATCGGAACAATTGCCCGAAATTCTGGAGATATATTGAATAACAATGAACCATTTGGTAAAAAACTAATGGTTTGGAAGGTGATTTCTATCATTACAACCAATAGTTCCAAAATCGACAAAAGCAGAGACTCTAGAATATAGCTTGCTCAAATGAAAAATATTCAACTGACAAGAAATATAAAGTAATAACAGATCTAGTATTCAATGACTTCTTCTTTCGTGTCGGAAATGAAGAAGCACGTCTAATAAAAGATGATTTGGTTCTTCTAGGACACGTTGTTATCAATCCCAATAGTAATAGTAGTGCATTTAATAAGGAAAATATTTCTATAATTAGGTTAAAACACAATTCGTGCAAATTGCACGATAGAAATTAAAAAGTTATCTTAGCTAGCAGAAACAAATATGTTGATCAACTAAATAAAAGGTTGATTGCGAAATTTTATGGTAAAAATACAATATTTTTTAGTTTTTGACTCAGTAGAAGATGATACCAACAATTACTACCAAGAAAAATACTTAAATACTTTAGTACCAAATGGTTTTCAACCGCACAGGTTTATTGTCAAGTTTATTATTTCTTACGTATGTTAGTGTCTCCGTATATGCAATAGACTAAGTTAAAATTGTTCTTCCGTTGCATATAGATTGATTTTGAAGAAAACTATGCTCGTCATTCTACTGAAAACCTTAGATCGATCGAATAGCTTATGTAATAACACATAGATTGTATATAGAAGTTTTGACAATAACGTCATACATGCAAAAATTATGATACTGGTCAATGTGCTTTTAAGTATATTTTTATCTTCGAATTCAACTTTCGTCTTCCGAAACTAAAAAATATCCTTTTAAATTTGTGTGAAAATAATTTTCGATATGTTTATATTTTGCAATTACAATAAATAAAGCACAAGGACTGGTGTGATTCTGGTCCTTAATAAACTTTGAGGGACCACAATTCTGGTCCCTAAAGAATGATAAAATAAAGGAATGTTGGATGATGCATCTGGTGCCTATTAATTTACAATGACCAGATTTTACAGGTCCTACTAGGACTTTGAGGACGGAAATTTCTGGTCGTTAAAGATCTTACGAAATGTAGTCCTTAAACAAATCTATTTTATGTCCTGCTTTTTCGAAATATTATTCCATTCATAATGTATATAATGAATGCATGTGGACAAACTTATCAATAATGTCTTCATATATATTTGCAAAATTACAACAAAAAAAAAAGGATCAACATTCCGTTTGTACTGTATCATTTACACACCCTATAGGAAGAAAACAAATTAACATCATTTGCAAATAAATGAATTGTAGTCTATAGTTCTGGGCAAATGCTAATTATCTTGTCAACTTGAAGCCTCCAATATCTACATCTTCACTTGTAAACTGAAGTCTTCAAAACCTGTGAGAAGTATGAAATAAATTCACTTCAGAAAAACTATAATAATAAACCAGAAAGATTGGGCAACTAATTGCGAGGCCTACATTATTTCATAAACTAATTGCAATATAACAATATTTTGGTCATATAAGAAACTTGCACTATGAAATAAAACACAAAATAGTCATGTCTGCAACTAAAACACTATAACAGACACTCAAAAAATGGATTTGTTTCATCAATGACAAGGAGCACTACATCTTGTTATGTACAAATAGGTTCCATAGGCTTAGAGGGGGACAAACAGATAATTATTTACCATATTACACGCCAAGTTGTAAGTGCCACGCAGCCTAAGAAACAAAGATTAAGTTCAACATTAGCATTAGTGAGAATCATCCAAAGTCGAAAATGTAGCATTAATGAGAATCATCCCTCATTACTTAATACATATAAAAATTGGATGCAAACTATAAGATCTAATAACACTATGTTATATAAACTACTAACAAACAAATTGCACTTTTAAAGCACATCTTCCTTCAGAGAATATCTAGCACAAAAATGTTTAACAAAAAAATCAAAATCAGTGCCTTATAACTTTTTCCATTATCATAATCATATTTTGGGTTCTGCTATAAACAAGAAACTGTGAGGGGTTCATGTTCCTATTAGTTAAATGTAGCAAATTTTCAGATCACTCAACATAGATCAGGGTAAATCTACTGATGCAAATATAAAAAATAAACTATTGACAATTATCCTACATTGGAACCTAAAACTTGTTGTCCTTGCAAGTAGCCATTAACTTGTAAGAAAATAATTAGCAATTTATTAATGATCAACGCACACAGACATAGATTTTTTTTGTGAAAAGTAAAAGAAACATAAGTTTAACAAGAATCGTGAAAGAAATTTCTGGACCTGCTGCCTAACTCTCTCAAGTTTCAGCTCAAGTTGTGCTAACTTCAATTAGCATTGTTTCCAGCTACTGAACTTACTCCTGGAAAGAGAAGGGAAGAGAATCAAGCAAAGGAATTTATCTACCATATAATTGAATTTTAAAAAGTAAAATTTCTTCTCCGTTTTTTTCGCACATGGCTTTCACACAAGGAGCTTCAATGTTGCTGCTAAACACAAAAGTGAGAGATAAAGAGGAAGCGGCTTTGGGTATACCCACCTTGTCAGGAAAACTTTATTGGTTGATAATCCCATGTCAGAGGGTATAAATTGTTCATAAAAGTAAAAAGGGTACATAACTAGATGAGAGTATGAGATTTACTACATGAAAAGTTATAGTGTTACGACAAAAATAAAATCATATTTGAGAGCCTAAGAAATGCATCCCAAACTATTATAAGATTATATCATGAAAATGCATGCGAACTTCAGAGTCACATATGACATGGAGATGAAGAGAATAGAACATAAAAGTTTCAACTAAATGGTTATGACATGATATAGAGTGTAAGGTTGAGTTTCGGTCCAAAAATAAATTGTATTTGTATGAGTAGCAAAAAAAAAATTAAGAACGAGCAATGAATCAATAGAAGTGAATAAAGAGAGGAAAAATTAAAAATTGATCCAGATTGTAAGAAAAAAGTCTATCGTTTCAACTTTGCAACATCCCTCACAAATGAACCACCACCTTATTCAATAAATAACTTTAGCAACCATTGCACCAAGATCAAGTATCTTCATAAAATCTTATAGAACCACAAGTACAAAACTGATGCACTTATTCAAGTAACCTCTTTGTGGAGAAAGCAGAAACACGTTCATCTCTTTTAAGATGTTCAACTTTAATACCACATTTCCCCAAAATTTCAATATTTTCTTTGAAACATGTCTTAGAACCATACAACAACATATTTAAATTTACCAATATCAATCTATCATTTTCACAAAGACTTTGCGTAGATGAATCTTTACTTTTTTTCTATAACTTCAATCTATCTGCTAGAGCACTAGCAACAGTTTTTCCACCACTTGAAATAGCCACTGTCTAATAAATTCACAAGTTTAATTTCTTTTAGCAAACATTACTATCACTAATATTTAAAAGAAGCTGCATGAACTTGATAATCACCGTAGACTAGCAAGCTCAGTTAAGCACCCCACCTATCAATTGGTAACAAAGTACAATAATCATGTTGATTAAAGTTTCCTTTTAGTACGTAAAGGAGTGGTTAGTAGCAATATGGGACATGAGTATAATAATATCAAGAAGTGCACTATAAAATAAACACCCAATTTCAGCAAAAACAGGGATAACATGTATCCATCAACAAAATTACGAGCAACAATAAAAATAAATACCAAAAATCACTCACTGCGCCCGTAAATGAAATGAAACAAAACCCACAAGCATTAACAGCAAAACCCAGCAAGTCTAAAATAGTGAGTGGAAGAAAGGAACTCTAACAGATGATTAGAACACTTTATTTCTTAAGCAAGTGGTAAAGTAAACAAATCTTGCATTCAAGAAACAAAATTGCCAGCGCACACATATACAAGCCTAGCTGAAGCAGGTAAAGAGAATAGAATTATGGGAAGCAAAACTTACGAATTTTAAGTTAATACTCCTGGAAGAACCTCGGACCACAATGAAACAACTCCTTCCCATCTTACTGCGGAGGTTGAAATGAATAACACGCGAGCTCTTCTTTACAAAACGACTCAGAGATATGGCCTCGCCATAAAAACAACTTGTTGAACCACAAAATGCCTAACTCAATCGCACAGATCCAACCTCAGTTGGTGATGGAAATAATTACCCAAAATAACTCAGAAAAATTGAATAACATGTAGAATATTCGTGGACAGATTGATGATGGAAATCATCACTTTGAACAATGAAATCAAGAACAGATTTAGATGAAACACCAAAACTGGTTGTCAAAGTAATAAGGGTTTGGGGATTTTGAGAGAAACGTTAAGAGATGGGGAGTAAACCCTAGTTCCTAAATGACGACTTGGGAATGTTTTTAAGTGTCTATTTCTTTATTTTTATTTTTTTTAAGTTTCTATCTCTTTATAATTATAAAAAATTAAAATTTTAGAAGAAATTTTGGGCGGCACCTGAAGTCTCCAACTCCCGCTCTATTCTTCGTATTAGGGACGAGAATTTTATAATAATAGGGACGAGATTCAGTCCCGCCGTTATTAAATTTAGAATTAGGTATCAGCAATAAAACTAGTCGCTATAAGTATACTTGTAGCGACCGGATTTCAATCCCGTCGCTAAATATTGGTCGCAAATGAGCCTTTTTCTTGTAGTGTTATTTTGTCGATTTGATCGCATGAGCAAGTTCGTATGATGTTTTAAGACTTGTGTGCATGTTTGGTTTGGAGCCCCGAGGGCTCGGGTGAGTTTTGGATAGGCTACGGAGTGTTTTGAAACTTAAGAAAATTGTTGGTATGTTCAAGTCTGCAGACTTCGCAATTGGCTCGCAAACGCGAGCATTGCATATGCGAAGAATCTTCACATTTGCGATCAGTAGGGCTGGGAGGGGACCTTCGCATTTGCGAAGCTCATGTCGCAATTGCGGTTGGAACAGAGGCCGCATTTGCGAACACTTGTTCACATTTGTGATGCCAGCAGGCCAGGCCAAGCTTCGCATTTGCGAAGTAATGGCCGCATTTGCGAGTTTGTATTTGCGAACCTGTGATCGCAAATGCGATAACTGCGACTGTTCAAAACCATTTTTGGACGGGATTTTTGATTCATTTCTCAAATTTTCAAACCCTAAACTTCAAGAGGCGATTTTCCAAAGATCATATCTTCCCCAAATCATAGGTAAATGATTCCTAACTTATTTCTTTTAATCCGTTTCATCTTTTTACAAGATTTCATCACAAAATCTAGGGTTTTTCATGGGGGAATTGGGTGTTTTTGGGTAGAACTTAGGAATTTCAAAATTTGGAGATTTAGACCTCAAATTGAGGTTGGATTCCAAAACCAATTGTATATCCAGGCTCGGGGGTAAATGGGTAATCGGGTTTTGGTCCGAATTTCGAGTTTTGACCAAGCGGGCCCGGGGTCGATTTTTGACTTTTTGGGGAAAAGGTTGGGAAATCTATAATTATGCATTGGAATTGGTTTCTTTAGCGTTAATTGATGTTAGTAAGTTAATTATGAGTAGATACGAGCGGATTCGAAGTGGAAACTAATGGAAAAGTGGTATTTGAGTCTTGAGTTTGGCCATGGAATCAAGGTAAGTGTTGTGGCTAACCTTAGCTTGAGGGATTAGGTGTTGTTGCCTTATTTTCTACATGTTTAGTGCTTAAGTACGACGTATAGGTGAGGTGACGAGTATCTATATGTTATTGTCTGGTCATAGCATGCGAGTGAGTTTGATACTTGTGACCGTTTTGTTTCTTTATATGTTCTGTTCCTGTTTAAATTGGTTATTACTCATGTTAAACAAGTCTTATTATGTTTTTCCTGGTTTTGGATATTGGTTGAGTATTGGCTCAAGTTGAGATTTATGTTGTGAAGTTAAGTGATGAAACGAAGTTGTTAAATTATGATGCCCTTGTCGGGTTGTTATTGTTTTTGTTGTTTCTTTTGGTGAGGAAGAGTGATAAAGCACGAAGGGTGATGCCGTGCACTTTTCTATTATTCATATTGTGAGGTTGAGTGGTAAAGCACGAAGGGTGATGCTGTGCACATTTCTATTATTCATATGGTGAGGTTGAGTGGTAAAGCAGGAAGGGTGATGCCGTGCACGTTTCTATTATTGAATACCTGGTGGTTGAGAGTAAAAGCACGAAGGGTGATGTCGTGCATTTTCTGTTTGCTGTGTTTACTTGTTATTACCGGTTCAAAGTGTACTAGCTGTTTAAATTCCTCTACTGCTATGATTCTTTATTTTGGTCCCCCCCCCCTCCCCCGCCCCATAGCATGTTTCCCCTTCCCGTTAATTTCTTCTTAGCTTCTATTAATTGTTATTCTGTTAGTATATTGTTTAACTGCACAGGTTTATGTTACTTGTCGTGCCCTAGCCTCGTCACTACTTCGCCGAGGTTAGGATCGGCACTTACTAGTATATGGGGTCAGTTGTACTAATACTGCACTCTGCACTTTCTGTGCAGATCCCGGTACTGGACCACACTGATCAGAGTTGGGTTGCTGCCTTCAGTCCACAGGAGACCCAAGGTAGATCCGTCGGCGTTCGCAGACCCTGGAGTCCCCTTCCCTCTATTTTAGATTCCTATTTTCTTTCATTCCGAAAAAACATATGTATTTCCTTGAGACCATTGTTTGTAGAAATTATTAGACGTTCGTGGATTGACACCAGATCTTTTGGGTAGTATTGTATTAGAGTTTTTAAACTATTATAAAATTTCTGCACTCCATATTTGTTTAGTTTTAATTATTGTAATTTTTAGTTTTGGTTAATGATTAATTTGTTGGAACTATATCTGTTCGCTTGCCTAGCATTCTAAGAGTTAGGCGCCATCACGATCCCGAAGGTGGGAATTCCGGATCGTGACATCATAGTTATTATTAATTGTTTGATTAACTTGATAAGGTCCTTGATTAAATTTTGAGACTTGACATTGTGATGGAGATCATGATAATGAGAGTGAAGTTTCTTATAATTTAATCTAAATTTGTTCTTGATCATAGGATTATTTATTTGGACATTAGTAATCCGGTTAGATCAATATTTATGTGATCGTCTTTATTGGATAAAGATTAGTTGATCTCATTAACTAAATCACATAGATAGATGATGCATATAGAGATATGATCATTGAACCGACTCATTGGATAATTCCTAATGGTTAGAATTACCATAAACTGTCAATAGGATATTCTCTTGAAGAATGTGATGTAAAAGTTTCCTTTGACCTGAGATCGTCATAGTAATTGACAAGTTATTTATTGTGCTTTGATACTAGAAACCTATGGCCCTAGGGCGATAGTTGAAAGGATATTGGGTACAATTAAATACTTGTAGAATTAGTGATTGGTCAAGATGAAAGTTGTCAACTCTTGGTAATGAGTTTAAGCTCCATGTTGTCGTGAATTATAAAACGACCAAATTTAGACCTTGGCCAGGGCAATTGAATGAAAGAAGAAAAGAGTTTCTAAGGTTATTCAATGGTCGATTATATTTGACATGAACACATAATTGGTCACCTATTAGGTTTTGACAGTTGAACCATATCCTAAGGTGACCCAGAGCTATAAGGACAGAAGGAATTACTACATTATTCTTCTACGGGTTCTTGAGAGTAAATTGTATACTTCATGCTATCTGGTCGTTAAGGAGTGTTGCTAGACGCCACCCTTGATTAGTATATTGATGTGATCAATTTGCTACCGGCTTAGTATTGAACCTTTGGGGTCGCACACTAACGAGTGTTCTGATCTGTGCTAAAGGATTAATTATTTTATTGTTTGGTAACTAAATTAAAGAATTTAATTACTCAAACAAATTTAGTTATTAGTCCAAATGAAATATTATTATATTCTTTGCTAGCACAGATGATATAGTTAATATTGTGAACAAATTGAAGATTTCTATTTTGAATAGAAAATTAAATTATCTCTTGGTTGAAATATATTTGTGATATATATACATATAATTAATATTTATATATATAATATTTTATTAAAAACTTATTTGAAAATCCAATCTAGAATTGGACGGACAGGACGTGAGATTAGTTAAAACCCATCAAGAATGGGACTGATATTTTTTAATATAAAATATTAGTTAATTCTCATAATCCAATCCAATTTGGAATTGAATTGGAACGTCCTTAAAGGACAAGCTGACGACGGCGCACGTATCCTATTAGGAATGGTATATACGTTTCTCCAATGGAAAATTCCATAAGTTTATTTTGGAATAAACTTTTACCCTAAGTAAATCATTACCTCAACCAAATAGGAAAAGGGTTTATAGGTGATGGAGAAATTTTGCCGCATTATTAATTCTTGAGAAGAAAATACTTTCTGAAAGTGAGAGTGAAATACAAAGCCAAGAGAGAAAATACAATTACAAAAATAAAAGTGCTTCTTGTTCTTCTATCTTTGAGTTGAGATTTTTGGAAAAAATTTCAACACAATATTTCGTTCAATTTGTTCACGAATTTCATTGATCAAAGAGTTGATAGCAAGGATCGATCTCGGTGTGGATACGCATAGGGTCTTCGCAGTATTGAAGAAAATTCTGAAACGATGCTCTCTTCACCAGGTACGTCTCAGATCTGATCTTTGACATGTAAAAAAAAATTAAACACAAAAAGATCTGCCTAGGATTGTTATTGTCTTCCGCTGCGTGTTACGAACGCCTTTATGCAATTCTATAGTGGTATCAGAGCAAGGTTTATTGTGGCTAAAATTTATTTACGAAATATTAAGATTATATTTGAAGAATTCAAACCATAATACATGTGTGTTGTGCAATAGTCAAATTGTTTGAATGCATTTGGATTGATATAACTTTATTGTGAATAAATGTAACGACCCGGCCGGTCGTTTCATGAGTTTCAGTCCCGTTCTCCCCATTTTTGCTTTCTTATATGTTTTTCAGCTACATTTCATTGTATCATGTTGGTTGGTTCGGGTTTGGAGTAGTTTTGGAGTGATATGAGACACTTAGTCTCTTAAGTTGGCCATTTAGTTGGAAAAGTCAATCGGAAGTTGACTTGTGGGTAAACGATCTCGGAATTTTGTTTTTATGGTTCGAATAGCTTCGTTAGGTGATTAGGACTTAGGAGCGTGATCGGAATGTATTTTGGAGACCCGTAGTAGATTTAGGCTTGAATTGGCGAAATTGGAATTTTGGCGTTTTCCGGTTGGTAGTGGAAATTTTGATATCGGGGTCGGAATGAAATTCCAGAAATTGTAGTAGGTCCGTTGTGTCATTTTTGACGTGTGTGCAAAATTTCAGGTCATTCGGGTGAGGTTTGATAGACTTTTTGATCGATTGCGGAATTCGTAAGTTTTGGA